GGGACTGAGAACTTGAGGCACAGAATAAATCTGTGAAGAGAATAGGACTTTAGAGAATCACTCTATAGGTCTGCATCTAATTGCATGATTTACCAGTTACACAGTAGTGGGGATTCTCTGAACTACAAGTGCCCTGAATACTGAGGGCAAGTGTGAGAAGACAGTTTGAGCTGTGAAAGTATGGAGGTGGCTTTCTCATGGGAGACTACAGTTAACGGTGCTTATCTAAGGTGGATTCCCACCACCTGCAAATGTTCCCATTTCTCATTCAGATAATTTCGACATATTTGCAATGTCTTCAATATGATACCATTTGTTACTGAGGGTTGAATAAAACCTAGCAGTTTTATAAAACTACCAAATTTAACCAGTTTAAATCTTCACAATCAATATTCAGAAACTGCATTAATTCTTATCCCACCCCCTAACTAATTTGATGTCATTACTTCATCCTTAGCTTAAGAATAAAACTAAGATCCTCTTACACATGACACAACCCAGAGGATGTTGTTCCCCTGAACTCTTGTCCTCGCTGTTTTGTAGTATCATTTTAACAAAAGAATCCCTTGATAAGTTTGAAAAATATGGAGTAAATAAAAACATTTCTTGATTAGACTCCTTCGTAGACTCCTTTCATATGCTTTTTATATGTAGATTTTCACATGTTCATAATATCATTTTTATATGTTCATTTGTTCTGTTTTAATATGCTTTTTATGTGTTCATTGGGGAGCCAAAATAGGGTCACATACAAATTTCAGAATTCCACAACTTATTATGATTTTATATTTCTTTAAAATAGCAAAGGGACAAGGCTAGTATTTAAAAACACTTACTAGGAAATGCTAATGTTAGGCAATGATACTGTGGTAAAGAGACCAAAAACAAAAAATGAGCACAGTTGCACCTGGGTGTGTAAAGTGATCTGGTAGAGTTAGTGGGTCTGCCTGTGACTAATACACAATTTGTCAAAGTCTGATCCCAGTGTTTCCCTCTTGACTTCAATGCCTTTATCATCCTTCCCTCCATTTACTACTTCCCTTTTAAGGAAAGAAGATGAATCCATTCTCTGCAAAAACTATAAATTCTCTTACTGACATTTTTCCCTTTAAATGTCAAGCAGAGGTTATAAGGGGAAAGTATAAGATTTTAAGCCTTAAATTATAACATGACAAGGAGCTTGACAAGCAACAACTAATGTTACTGCTGCAGAAATGACAAATGATCATTAAAGTCTCTGGTATTATGCACAAAAAGGTAAAAAGATCACATTTCTATAATATATTTGGCTCCAAGGAGCATCTTGCTAAGGCTTACAAAGAAACTGTGTATGGAAATATATAAGAAAGATGTTTTTTAAAACCAAAATTTCAATGTTGTCAACTTTCAACCATCTGTCTCAAGAAATTCAAGACTAATAATCTATTCACTCAGATCTCAACAGTATGTTCTAGTATTATCTACAAACACCCGCTGTCACTGGCATTCAACTAAACAAATTGTAGCAAAGGATATTAAAAATATTTAATGGGGAATCACAATATATACTAAGTAATTGGGTGATCATGAAACATGAGGTTGGTTGGCCAAATCACCTCATTTTAGACACTAGAAGCTTGTTGCAAAGAGGACAGTATAATTTTTCCTTATAGCATAATTGTGCAAAGCTCAGGTGGTACAAAATTTCCTATGTCTTTAAAAGTGGAGAATAAAATAGTAAGGAACCCAAAAACATTTTAAGTGGAACTTATCTATGAAAAATGTAAGTAAATGTGTAATAATATCTACTTCAAAATTGAGAGAAGAATGTGTCAAACATTTTAAAGGATTGGGCAGTGAAGATATGGTAATACAAACTTGTATATACATACAAAAGAGGGACTAATCCTTGCCATTTTATGGGGGCAGGGCTATGAATAAAGGGCAAGTTATAGAAAATTATTTTCAATGTAGTTATAAAAATATACAGTGGTGATTAGAATGTGACAGGTATCTTTGGAGAATTATTAAATGCTCCACTGTTAGTGAAGTGAAATATCACTTCATACAGTTGCTTTTCTGTGAGATTCTGAGGTTCCAAACAAAGATGACATTTAAGATTTAAATTCTGAAATGTAAAAACTTCCTTGTAAGGAAATGCATGTTTTATATTGTATGAATCAGGAAATGCCCAACATGCAGTCATCATAGTTTTGATGTCAAGGGTGTTATAGTTAAGACTGTGCTCACTCTCAAAAAGGCTGCAGTCTCAGGGGAAATGATTGGAGACTTAAGAACTGTGGAGATATAGTCACAAAAGTCTAAGGAAATTAGTAGGGGTTTTATATAAACTAATTTCTATTTGTTGCTATTCTCAGGATTTTGCTAAGCAAGGTCTTCTATTGAACTACAGCCCAACATGGAGTTTCTTTTTGGGGCCAGTGTACTTAAAACACTCTGAAAGGATAACATATTGGGGACATTTTCCTAAGGACTGAAAGAAGGAAATAGGGTAAACAGCTTCAGAAAGAATGGCATATTTAGAGAAAAATATGCAGAGTGCTGCAGCTGGCAAGTCACAGAGTCTAGATCATGTGCACTTCCTTTTGGGGGAGAAGAGAGGAAGAGCAGGAAAAATAGACATTGTTAGTAGGGGCTAAACAGAGTGACAGGAGAGCAGTAACAGATATTTTGGGGGCTGAATTAAAATAATTGGTGTTCAGGGTAGGGTAGCTTCACTAATTCTTTTGTTTGTTTGTTTATTGTTTCTATTTCAGGGCCAGTATTTTTTTCTTTTAGAGTAGGTTAAAGTGAGCCATTTTCTTTCATTCCTAGATTCCACTTGCCAGTTACCTTGAAAGTACTAATTATGTCTTTCGCTATATAGGACAGAAGTGACCTATTATTATTGAAGGTTCATTTCTTTTAAACCATTCATGCCTAAAAACTTAAAACAGTGAATAATTGTGTTATAGGTATTTTTGAACTTAAATATAAAAATATCATGTGAAAATACCACAGCATCTGAAAAAATTTTTTGGTAGAATTATATGGGTGTGGAGACCTTTTTTCATAGACTTTGAAAATAAGTACAGATTTAGGCATGGCTAGAAGAAATCAGCAGGCAGATCTAGCATAATTTCACAACAGGTGAAGGAATGATGGGAAAGTCACAGCTAAACTCTTTATATGTCAAAGGTGAAGCCTGTTCTAAGGCAGCCATTATTTGAAAATGAGTTTCCACTTCATTTTTTATGTATCACTATGAAGAAGATAATTTCACACTTTATTCGAATGTCAATATTTCAAGTAATAAAATTTATATTATGAGTGAAAAATGTTCATATCTCAAGTCGCTAAAATATTTTTTGTTTGAAAATGAAACAGCATAATAAGATCAACTTTTATATCCAAAGCATACAATGAAACAAAAGTTTCATAGGTTCTTGAGAAGGAAAAAGTGGTGACTTTAGGTAGTCAAGAAATTGAACTCTAGTTATAAGTTTGATATTGGTGTCTTATTTTTTTTCTTGTCCAATTTGACTGGATGTTTTCTCACAGCAGAGGTCCTTCCAGAAGAGTGGCTGCCCTTTGGGAAATGGTAGTTGGATGGGATAATTGTTAAATGACTAACTAAATAGTAAGCAAAGGGAGGAGGGACAGAATTGACAGATTCAAAAAATTGAATGCCATCCCATGTGGAGGAAACAGTTATGCTTGAGGTGATGAACATGTATGGACAGTCAGATTGCCTCAACTGGAAAGGCTAAGTTAGTAAATGTCTCTAGACCTGTTTTATAGGTTACCTTATAAAGAAGTATAGGAAGTTCATGAAACTCAATATATACAAAATACAGAGATTAATTCAGTTCAAAGGCATTCACAACTACAAGATAATCCACATGGATTAAATATAAGCTCCCTAGAGGCTAAAATAAGAATAGCTAATAGAAAACTCTGATGCTTAACTGTCAAAACTTAACATATATCATGAAATGATCTTTTTATTAAGTTGCATTCTACTCTGCCTTTAACACTTTTTATAAAGAAAGAGGAGATAATAGCTTCTTGTAGATATAGTCATCTTAAGTAGTTAGACAGGCATAATCAGGCTTGGGAGCCCTTAGAGCTTTGGATGAACCCTTCCCTCATAATTGGCTTTTTGACTCCACCTCTGGGTTTCCATGGTAACTCTATGAAGAAGAGAATCATTATTGCTCTCTAAAGTTATAAATATCTATATGAATAGTTGGAGGCTTCAGGGTTTTGTTGAGGCCATTAAAAGAAAGATACTTCCTCCCTGGCCCTTGGATAGAGAGGATATTATAATATATTCCAGAGGTTCAAACATTACATATTATTATTGTCTCCTGCCTTAAGCAGTTATATTGCTGAACCTGTCAATAACCTAGTCAGGAGACCATTGCTCATGAAAACCAATTGATTAGAGAGCACCCTAAAGAGATAGAAGTAATAATTACCTCTTTAATGAGAAAATGTCCCTTCCTAATAGTCCTTCCCATGGTGCAGCATTGAATCTCCAACATGCAGCACTGCTAAGTCTGTCTGCTTTTCTGTTTCCATCTTTATATGTTGTTTTCTTTCAGATACTGAACAAATGTCTACGTATGCTTTTTCCACTCTTTCTTTGACGCTTCTGTTTTCTTTCTGCGGCACAACTGTTTGCTGATTGCTATTGCTGTACTGAATGTTAAAGGTGAGCCCTAATCTGGTAAGATTGCTAGCCAAGAAGAAGAAAAAAGAATCCATCTTTCTGTCAGCAAGAGAAAAATAAAAGGGCCTGTGAGATGCAATCTGATAGTGGCCATCTGCAAATCTGGAGTAGTGCCTTCGCAGAAATGAAATAACAGGGTTTGGACTTCTGAGGAAATATATTTGTGTTGTTTAAGCCATATAGTCTAAGGTATTTTGTTACAGCTTCCCAAGCTAAGACAGTCATCACACAGTGAGAAAGAAGAACCTTACAAAGTTGTGGACAGTTTTGTTGGGGTCATACTCACCATTAGTAGTCTGTCTCCTACTTGCAACCTTCCATCCTTCTGTGCAGCCCCACCATCAATAATTTTTGTTACATAAATGCTGTTGTCTCCAGGAATGTGCTGGTTCCCCACCCCTCCAGCAATACTGAAGCCTAAACCTAGTGGAAAAGAACAGAAAATGAGAAGCAAATTAGGTCTATAACAACAACTGAAAATATTTTTAGTAAGTTCGTTTTTTTTCCCTAGTAAATGGCACCAAGGATTCTACTGAAATCAGCTTTGATATCTAAATATTTGAAGGGCTTATTGAGTTTGGCTAATGAAGCAAAGATCATTTAGTCAATCATATATGAATTTCAGTTTTGTTCTAATTGAAGACTGGGCCCCTAACCACTATTGTTTCCCAGCTAATAAGGCCATGATGAGCAACTGGTCAGAACAAGGATGCAGCAAAGGATAATGTTCTTATTGCTTTGAGTAAAAGTTGTATTTTTGTGTTGAGCCAAGAGAAACACAGGTGCAGTTGTTGACTGTGCAGAGCCCAGGGCTCATGTTCATGGTCATTGCTACTCTAGTACAGAAGGAGCTGCTTCTTGATGTTTTCACTAATGTACTGGAACATGTCTTGACTTATGACTTTCTTTGTCTGCTAATATAATAAACTTCATGAAACTTCTTTCCTGTTGGAACATAGAAATTGGGGTAATCTAAATCTGTGTCCCCAGGCTGTTGTCACAATACTGGGCTACAAAATGAACTACTCCTTATCCCCTTTGAGGTGAGAGTTATATATTTCTGCTGAGTCCAGAGAAACACAGGTGCAGTTCTTGGCTGTATAGAGCACGGGGATCATCATCATACTCACTGTTATTCTAGCATAGAAATAAGAACCACAACCATTTGGGGTGCAATGGGACACTCTTGGTATTTCAGAATGAAAACTACAGTTAGAAGGACCTCGTTCAGATGTGAGATCAGCCAATGATACACTAGATGTTTTCATGTCACCATTTCAAACAGCTGATGAAAAAATGATGGGAGATGCTCTTTTTAACATTACTTCTTTGGCTTGTTGTTATATTTTTAAAACTCCTGGGACTTAGTGTTATTAACTGACTGTTAGGTTCCAAACCTGGGATAAATGGCTGAGGCACCTACTTAACATATCAAATCAAATCTGGCCACCAGTTCTCCCTGCATCCCCCAGCCATTACTTGTTACAGGGACCTCCTGGCTGGCATACTCCTACCCTATCCTAAACATCTCCAGCCCAAGGGCTGGGCTGCCCTTTCTACAGCTGCCATTCCCTATATAATCCAGTTAATTTGGTTACCCCACTCTCTTTTGAACCTCTTGGCTGATGCACCAATTTCCCCTCTTCCCCCCCTCTTCCACTCTCCATGTACCCACATGATTCTGGGTCATGTCCACTCTGGACTCTCCCAGTTGTCTCTGCCACTGACTATGCTCTGCCTTTTATCTTAAATAAGTTTTGTCCTCCACCATACCTAGGAATTTGTTATGTTCTTCCTTTTTATTTCTATTTTTTTATTCACTAATAGTGATGCTATTGACAAACAATGTGAATGACCCTAGTATTCAGCCTTCAAAAGTTCCCAGAAAAAAGCTGGACCTTGAACAGAAACTTCTAGAGGACTAATTAATTGAGTAGAATTTTAGTGATTGTGGAGAGATTTGGAATGTTTCAAGTCCAGAGCCAAAATACCTTGAGCTCTCTTTAGCCTTCTCGATAGCCATTTATTGTCTTCCTCGATTCCTTATCTCACAGCTCTTGACAACTAGGTAAATCATTTAGGATGTATACACAGATGCTTGATTTCCCTTTGGAGGCATTGACTTAGCCAACCACTACCTTATTCCTATGCTGAAGCTAAGAGGGTCTTCAGATAGCATCTGAGGCCTAAGGCAGAAGTTTCCTGCTTTGCCATAACTCACCTCCCTATTCTTCTACAGACATATTTGAAAAGTGTCTTGATTTCTGATTTTCTTTGTTCTGTTAAAAAAAAAATCATGAAATTGCATCCATGTTGGGACAGGGAATTTGGGGTAATCCAAGTCTGTGTTCCCAGGCTATGGACACTCATACTCTTTTACAGGACAAATCATTTGTTATCCTCTTTGAAGTGTGAGTTGTATTTTTGTGCTTAGAGTCTTAAGAATAAAAATAAGACACCTTACTTTTTATAATAAATGACGGAATATATGATAATTTCAATCGTGGACTCTTGTACTTTAAGAGGTGAATTTTACTCTGGTTTGCAAAATGCTTATTTTTATCTAACTATGGAAAGATATAGTAAGAGCAGAATAATCTACTGACTATAAAGTAATTGTAAAGAAATGATTGATATACCCTTTGAGAATATGATTCACTATGTATTCAGTAAAATGCTCATAGTATATATTTTCATCTAGAAATATAATTAACATGCAAGTTACTAAAAATTACATAAAGAGAACAGTCAAAGTCCAGTAAAATTAGACACGATTTTGTGACTTTCTTGGCTTAATAAAAACATTAAAAAACATACATTGAATAAATTATAAAGCAGTTATAAATTTTTGGTACTTTAATAACAATGGAAAATGATTTTAAAATTAACTATTTCATTATTCTTTTGATTATTAATACAAAGTAAATTAAATATATGTTTTAAGGCAATATACATAATGGAAAATTGATGACCTAGAAAATTATAGTTATACCCTGGAATTATATTAAAAAAAGAAATGGTTTTGTTAAATGAACTATAGTAGTTGTTAAAAGAAATGGAAAAAGGATTCAAATTGATAGGGCAATTAAAATAAGTGTTATATAATTTCCTACTGAAGTTTGTAATCATTCTTCATTGCTACTTGCCACCCCATAGAACTCTGAATACATTTGTCTGCTTATGAGTTAAAAGAATGTGTTTCCTAAGCAATGACCAAAGAATAAATAAAATGTATATAAACTGGCTTTTTCTATGAACTTTAAAATATGCATTAGCTCATATTGTCCAAAACTGTAATTCCAGTGGATACCAGAGCATAAGATTTTTTTAAAAATGTATTTTTAATACTTTCACTGTCACCTTAAGTCTACTGCATTTGTAGCACAACAGAGGTCATTCCAAATACTGTAAAGAAAAAGGTTAAACACATATCCAGGAACTCTGATTTACACCCACTAGACAAGCAATAAATGCCAAAGACAATCTTGGCTCCTGAGAGCTATGGAACACATTACCACCATAAAGAAGATTAAGTCCCACAAAGAGAATAACTGTATAGTTGACATTTGAAGTCGAAGACAGTACCAAGACCATGAAATCACATGAATACTGTGGACATAAATTTGTCAGCTGAAAACTATTTCTTTCTTTTCTTTTGAGATTAGGTTTATGTACTTTTTATCTAGTAGCTCTACTCAAGGTGAAGTCAGGTATTTTTAGTACATATATCTCTGAGACCCAGAGAATGATCTGATGGCACACAACTACACATTTCTCTTATTTTGGTGATTTGTGGATACATTTTAAACCAACCCACATTTACTATCAAATGTTTTACAGGTATTATTCTTTTTATGATTTTGGTGTATTCAGATAGTGTTTCACTGTGCTGTCCAGCTTGTCCTTGAACTCAGGATCTTTCTGCCACAGCCTCCTGGGTACTAAAATGACAGGTGTGCATACCATGCCTGGCCATATTCCAGATATTCAGTACAACATGGTACATAATGTGAAACTTATGCTTACATGTTTTAAGATTGGAGGCATTCTCATTCATTCATTCATTCATTCATTCATTCATTATCTACATATTCATTCAACCAACATCTCCTAAATATATTCTATGGTTTTCTTGGTTTGAGATAGGGTTGTATTTAGCATTTATGAAGCCAATGCTAGACTTGAATTCCTGATCCTTCTTTCTCTACCTCCAAATGTGAGGATTACAAGCATACATGTCCGTGGCCATCCACTCAATGATCGTGCAGACAATTTCTGTTCATTGTGTCCCAGAAAGGCATCCTGGTATATTTATCTTGGGTATAATAGACAGAAATTGGCTTTATTCAAATATCTAGATGCCTGAATCTGATCTTTGTATTAAGCATTGTCTTTACTATGTACTCCACTGTGATGTTAGATTTAATTGTCCAGTTGACACAATCTAGGTCACCTAGATAGTCTCAGCATGGAATTGTATAGATCAGTTTCCCTTTACCTATGTGTGTGGGGCATTGTGCATTGTCTTGATTATGTTAACCAATGGAGGAAGAGTCAGTGTAAAGGTGGACAGTACCATTCCATGGTGTTGGGCTCTGGATTCTGTACAAGGGGAGAAAGTGAGCTGAGCATGGCAGGCACACATTCATTCATTGCTCTCTGCTCTTGAATAAGGATATATGTAACCAGCTGCTTCAAGTGTCTGCCACCTTGATCTCCCTGTGATAATGGGTTATGCCATACAATTTTGAAGTGAATAAGTATTTTTTTCCTTAAGGTGTTTTGTCAGGGGTTCTATCATAGCAATAGGAAAAGAAATAAATATATCTACTCAATCACCATAGCCTACTTTCCATTTTATCCTAGCATTTATTACTTTGTAGTGGTGCTCCCTTTGTGAGACAGGCTGGCTATGCAGGTAAGGCTGGCCTTGGATTCTTGGGTTCATGCAATCTTCCTTCCACAGCCTCCCATCAGCTTTGTCTACAGGTACACACCACTGATGGGAGATGTCATTCTGTAAATGAATAAAGCACTTTTGGCAAATAGGAAAGCAAATTAGGTGGGACGAGGAGACAAGGAGGATTCTGGGAGATGTAATAGGAGAGTCAAGATGTAGGGACTTGAGGGAAGAGGTCTGAACCCTCTCTCTGGTAAAATAAGACCACGTGAAAACACGTAGATGAATAGAAATGGGTTAATATTTAAGACAGAGCTAGCCAATAAGAAGTGCTAGTAACAGGCCAACAGCGTTCATTATATCTAACACATCTCTGTGTGTTATTTGGGGCTGATGCAGCTGTGGTGCAAAAACTGCTCGTAATACACCACCATATACTTTTTATGGTTTATATTTTTGATGAAAACCCAAGCTCTACAATGATATGGATTTTTGTTTTTATATTGTACAAATAAAGAAAAGC